CTGTGATATTTCCACAGTGCTTAGTGAACATAAAAGAGGAAAGGATATTTTTCTCTGGTGGTCAGGACTTGTGTGTTTGGAGTGAAAAGGGAGAACTGCTGGATAAAATGCAGAGGAACAGTGAAGACTGTGAGTAGTGTGTTTGGTGTATGATTGTTATTACGGTAGCTTCTGTCAGAATTTGATGTAAAATAAAATTAGGATAAATCATTGATAAGTTTCCACCATTATTTGAGAATATATCTTCCTCTCCCATTTAAAAATATTTAATCTGTGATTCTCTTGCACATTTTTTAAGCATGCTGATTGAAATGATATATTTGTTTTCCTTTAGCTGATATCAACACATTGCTTCCACTAAAGAATAACCGGATAGTGGCTGCCTCAAATAAATTTTCACTTGGTAAAGTTGTTTTGACTTAGAAAAATTTTTCATATTCTCATCTCCCCAACCTACAGTTAAGTTAAAAGACAATTTATTCATGACTGTTACCAAAAAACTCACAACACAAACTTATTATGAATAACTTACAATTAGGGCCATAGTTACATTGACATACAGTCATGTGAAATTTACACATTTGTTGTGCATTAATTTTACTTAATGTCGCTCTCTCACTTTCACACAACCTCACAAGCTACTTTACAGTATGACATCATGCTCTTAGATGTACTCAAGACATGCATTAATAACCGCCTTAACTCCCAGAAGTGACCAACATGTAATTTCTCGGTATAATTTCCATACAATGTCCAGAGAACAGGTAATGAGAATACTCAAACTTATCAGAGAGAGGTTATCCCAATCTAACACCAAATTCTTGTATAACTATAATTGACAAGGAAATATATAGCAGCTAGAGTAGAGAATAACAACCATATCTGGGGAGTTAATGGTTAACACTCCATGCATTACACCTACCAGATATCATCTTCCAGCCCTCTGCCTTTTAATTATATGTTTGTTTATTCATTGTTTACTTATTAATTTGTCAGTTCATCAAGTTCATCCAAATCAGTCACAGTGAGTGTGACTTTCATTCTTTCATTTGTTCACCTCTTCATTCTTTCATTCATTCATTTATTCATTTATTTCTCCACTCACTATTCATTCATTTATTAGTTTATGAGTTCATTCATTCATTCATTCGTTCATTCATTCATTCATTCATTCGTTCATTCATTCATTCATTTATTAATTCATTCATTCATTTAGATGTTTGTTTATTTTTCCTGAAAATTTCATGTTCATTCATTCATTCATTTATTAATTCATTCATTCATTTAGATGTTTGTTTATTTTTCCTGAAAATTTCATTGTCCTGAAATGCCATAATTTGGTAGTACATGATCATGATTGCATTTGACTGGCATTTTATTTTCATACTGACAGTGATATATTCAGTGATGAGGATCACAGATGATTCCCAAAATCTGAAAATAGTTGAAGTCAAGAAACTTTCACCCCACAGGGAATCAATTAGATGCCTTATCAGGGTAGCAGGTTTGTTTTAGAATTGAAGGCCAAGTGCCTGAAATAAAATACTGTTTGCAGTTATGTAAATAAGTAGACTTGTGTGTTTGATGCACAGATTTGAAGCTAATGAAAAAACATTTGACTGGCTTTTGCTTGTATATGTTACTACTAATAAATTATCATGGTGAATGATTATTATTCATAAAATTTTGAACTCAAGGAGTCTAAACTATGAGCAAATTGGGACTAGACTATTGCTAAATGCCTCACCATGAAAAATTATCCCAAAAATTAACTATTTAAAATTTTTATATTGGCAATAAGTTCACAAAATATTTAGCTTAAAATTGGATTTTAAAATATTTCATAAATAATACTTTTTGAACTTTTCACCATGATTGTTGTTAATATGAACCCACTTGCATGTTAGCAACTCATATTTTTGAAATCCAAACTGAGTTCCTGACAATAGATCAACTTAAGTTTGCGTTGTTCAAGAAGATGGGGCATTTAAACAAAGAGTACATGTACATCCTCCATTAAATATAGTACTTTTTGTACAAATATTTACATGTAAAACTGTATATCATTATGAAGTTGTTAAAAACATGTCAATTTTTTTTTTCTTTGGATCAATAGACAGCATGTTTGCATCAGCATCATTGGATGGAGCCATTGTTTTGTGGAGCTCTCAGAGACTTTCTTTTATGCGACAGTTTAACTTTGTGAAGGACTATGAAGGACAATATCACACCTATCCTGCTAGTGCTCAGCATATCTTTACTGTTGACCAGGTAAGAACACTGGCAAGTCTTGGCTCAGAGGACAGGAAGTGTTGAAAATCAATTTAGTCTGTTCTCTAGGTCTTACTACACTGTTTTGTGTGTTTGTTTTTTCAAATCTTAAATGTACTATTACATCAGTGAAAAATGTATCATTAATTATAATTATGATTATACTGTCTACTTTTGGAAATTAAGAGATGTTGAATAACTCAACCAGTCTTGCCTTACACCAAATAATACAAACTATTTATTAGTAATGAAAGTAAAAGTAAAAGGGAGGTTTGAATCTAGATACTGATTTATTGTCATGGAGTTCTAGATATTCTCCGTGATTTTTTAAGCTGAGCTGTTATCAGTATCTACTGTCCACGTTCCTAACAAGTCATGTTTATTTGCTTATCTGATATTTAACAATAATTGTTTATTTTATGCTGCTTGTACATGTAGAAATACATTTTGGCTTCAATTGGGCATGGATTTTTCTTGTATGACACTATGTCAGGTATGATGCTATATTTTCAGTAAGGTTTTGCCTGGCGAGTGATAACAATGTGACTCCCACCTTAATTGATATGACACTACCTTTAAATATTGACTTTAGATGACTTGGTTAGATTTTAATCAACTTACATTTCTGTACCAATGTAGGAAACTGCCTTGCCAAAGTTACAAATGCACATCACGGGAAAATAATTCACTCTGTGCTGTTATGCAAAGGGTAAGGTCTTTTAAATAGGTAAATGGTAAAATGCGGATGATGTGGTAAATTTGTACAGTGAAGGTATGCTTTGTTACACCACAGCTAGTTTTCAAGTGCTCAATCGTGTATTGTCTTGGTAATTTGTGCCAAAATTAGACAGAAAGACTCAAAGTGAAACTAAGCAAATAGGCTTAGTTGAGATTGGATTTAGCTTTGCACCTGTTTAGGTAAGAGTGGTGCAAGTTTTCTGGACCAGTCACAGAATGAAGCAAGCAAAACCACTGCAATCCAGGATGACCTTCAACACTCAATTGAAATCTTCGCTAGTTATAGCTGGGGCTTTGATCAAGTCAAGTTTGGTTGTAGTTTTAAATCAGATTTGATGGGGGGCTGACAAAGCATAGGGAAAAAAATACTGTTATAAGCCATCTCAGACTGATTTCAACACTCGAGAGAAAATTTCTCTTGATTAATTTATCTTTTTGGATCATAGTTATATTTTGGCAACCTGTTCAGAGGATGGCTCTGTGAGAATTTGGGGATCAGCAAATCCTCTTTTAGTCTGTAAGTCTTCTATTTCTCTATTTCTTTTCACATAGATTGCTATGAGAGGCCCTCTGCCTCAGATGGCATCTTTGTAGTTTATAAGTTCTCTCCCCTCCCCTCACTCCTTGATTGTTCCCTGAACTGAACCTCACTCACTCCAGTTCCTAGTACTGTTGGCTTACTCTCACTGGCTAAGGCTCTTTGAATGAACATCTCATTTAAGATATTTGCAAATACATC